GCTCAGATGTGAATCAATTACCTGATAAAAAATAACTGATTTGTTTAATTTCCTTCGATCTTGATTTAGTCTTTGCTCATTTTCAGTCCATGCTGTGTTTCTTTTAATTAATAAACTACTTATTTCTAATAATGAGTTTATGTTTACAGATTTCCTCTTCACGATGGTGGAGTCCACAGCTTCTGGTGTGTTCTGTAACAGGATGCTGAGCATGGTGAACTCTGAGGATGTGAATGCCATCATCCAGGCTCAGAGACACATGTGTGTATCAGTCTGATGCTGTGGCAGTACATTTAAAACGCAAAACTCTCCTGTGGGTGCAGATTGTATCTTGTACAAGGATCTTTGCAGATATAAATAATGTTCTGTGCAAACAGGCTGGATCGCTTTGAGAAAACGAATGAAATGCTGATCAACTTTAATGGGCTCTCGAATGTGCGACTGCAGCAGATGAACGAGCGCTTCCTGCTCCACACCCGCACCCTGGTAGAGATGAAGAAAGACTTGGACGGCATTTTCAGGAGGATCAGGTAAATCTTTGCTCTGCTGCTGTCAAACAGAGACAGACATACTTTACAACTTCTGATTTCTGCTGCCTTTATGTTCTCCAGGACATTAAAAGGGAAGATTGCTAAGCAGTACCCAGATGCTTTCAGCAGTAAGTCATCCATCCATCCATCCATCCATCCATCCATCCATCCATCCATCCATCCATCCATCCATCCATCCATCCATCCGTCTGCTAATTGCATTAAATAACATGGACAGGATTATTTTAATGTTTCAGTTTTTTTTACCCAGCTCCGTTTCTTTCTGACGTCAAACTGTAGATTTGCCAATAGCGTCTCAATTTATCGAAACTGATTAAATAAGTTATTCCCTCGCTGCTTTTTAAAGTTTGTCAATCAACCAAATGAACAAGTATTTTGTTTTAACTGACCTAAATATTACAGATGTGCACGAGTCGCCCATTTTGGACGACGACGATGACGAATTTGACCCAATGCCTCCAAGTTTTACCACAACAGCCACATCAGAGCAGAGCACAGAGTCCTGCGACACGAGTCCTGACGTGATTTCTCCCACCGTGAGCCGCTGCTCCGAGGATCTGTCTCAGGAGCCGGCCGACACGCCCACTTCTGCTGTCTTAGAGACAGCAGTCCTACGGGAAGAGGGTCCCGACTCTGCATCTGCAGAGTAGAGCGGAAATAGATTTCTGTCGCTTCAAACTGAAAGTTATTTAGCAGCAGGCTGTGTTGTAAATGTAAGTGAAGGTTGACCTTTGTAATATTTGTTTTATAGTGTTTAATCTGTTTACGGTCACATGCTTGATGTTAGAGATTTAAATAAACTCTCCAAGAGAATATTTATTTTATTTTTTTTTGACCTGGTTACTTGTTTTATGTCTGCAGCAACTAAGTCACACCAAAAATACTTGAAGTTGAATGTTTCTGAGTGTGTTGTAGTAGTGGTGAATCTGAGCAAAAGTGTTCAAATGATTATGTAAATGTAGGCAAGCTTACGTGTTGTTTTGGTTTGACTGAGGACACAAGTTTTCTTTCATGATGATGTAGTCAAAATGCACAAAATCTCATATTTTTAACCTGAATATAAGGAAGCGATTCTCAGTACGACCTAATATTTACCAATAATATTTGACAGGCACCTTTATAGAACCCATTTCTTAATGCCTTCATAACTGTTTACTCATGCTGTATATGTTTGAAAAGTAAAATAAACATTTCTGTATTAAAAGAGATATCTGTTGTTACTCTTGTCTAGATTGCATATATTTATTTTTTGTTTTTTGTATTTTACTCCAGTGCACCTATTAGCMATAATTTGTACACAAAATATTTATTTATACTGTATGCAGAGGTTTAAAGTAACTAAGTACATTTACTTTGTTAAAGCACTTAAGTATTTTTTTTGAGGATTTGTAATTTTACCAATTTAATAGCTACTTTTATTTCTATTTTGTTACATTTTAAAGCTAAAAATGATACTTTTACTTCTTTAAAATTTAACACCTTGTTACAGAATTAAATATGTTCAAACTCATAATGACAGACAATGTTTCTGCACTTTATAAAATAAAGTGTTGAATTTACTCAACAAAGTCAAGTCAGCTGGCTCCACCAAGCCTAGCTGAGTAAACTGAGCAAAGAATATATGTATATTGCTCAGTTTACTCAACCTGGCTTTGTGGAACCAGTTTGGTTCAATAAATTCAACAGTTTATTTCTTAGAGAGTGCGTAAATGTACTTCTGCTTTTACTTTCCCAATTTTGGTGAACAGTTTTATGACTTTTACTGTAGTAGTTTTCTCATCAGTCATCCTTGATTTCACTACTTTTGACAAAAAAAGAACTGTGACCTTTCTTTGTCATCAACCTTATTGTACTTCTTGTTAAATATTATTCACACAAATGCAAGTTCAGCAATAAAAGACC